TTTAAATGAAACAGATTTTGTTAGTGATCAATCACACATTAAAAAAAAATATTGATGCTGACTCCTTTAGTCTACATCTAGCGATAGGTTCACGGATCTATATGTTATGACAATTTGACGACTTCATTGGAGAGATCGAGAGTCAAGCCAGTAAATGATTTTTTGTTATCCAAGCTTAACCTAATAAATTTAAGATTTTTTTCTCTCTTGTTTGTATTTTATTTGTTTTATTTATTTATTCATTTTATATATCTGTCATTCATTTACACATGCATAACATGAGCTATACATCCGAGTTCTGTCCCTTAAGAAGGAGTAAAATACCTGCGTCTTTGTGAGATATCATATCTTCGCATGGGCTAGCAAAAATTTCTTATTCAAATTGAATCATTTTCGCTTATAACTTATAATAGGTAAGGATTGATATGTCTTACTAGTCTATAATAGACAATAATGTAAGAAATAATTTAAAAACCATTAAGCTATCAAACTTTTAAACCTAACATGTAAATAAACTTTAAAAGTCTGAACCTAAGTTAAAGCCATGCATTCTCTTGTATTAGAAAATTTTAAATAAGATATATAACGAAACATTTATTCAGTTTGTAAATTTATATATTTTCTTTATATATATTATTTGCTTACTAACCTTTTACGTTATTTTTTTATATTGTTATTTGTATATATCATCTTTACTAACATTTTTTGAAATAGCTTGGGCTAGAGTATACCAATCTTCTCGGAAGCCTATACTTCTCAAGGCGAAATCTGTTTGATCATAAATATGTTCAGATTGCTTCAATAAATTTTAGCGAAAAAAAAAAAAAATCTCACTTCATTCGCCTCTCTTGCGTAAAAACACTTCAGTTCACATGTTGCTTTATATTCGGATAGATTAGATTATTTGAATTTTAGAATTGGATCAAGATTTTTGTTGGTTCTTTGAGCTGACCCAATATTTTGCTTGGCGGCTATAAACAAACGTCTTTCCTTTTTAGCTCTTACCTTAATCAAACTACAGTCCAATTGAGAGTTGTTTTTTGTTGGTTTAAAAATTAAATAATTGGGTGCGTGGAAAGCAAGAAAGGTAAATATATATATATACACAAACGTAAATAAAATGAATCAGATCATTCATTGAATTTGGCCTTGGAATTGAGTTTTTCCCACTTTTTTAACTTTGATTCAAAACAGGTTAATCATGAATTGTTTAGCCTCTTTCATGGAACATTGTTGAAATTTGAAATGTAAACAATTTTAGAATATTTAAGCATCAAACAAAATTAGTAAACAACTAGCTCTGACATAAGATGGTAAAAAACATAGAAAGCAGCTTGGTTTCAAACAAAGATGAAAGATAGGAAACCAAAAGTTGATCGGATTATTTAAAATATAATAAAATATTATAATATAAAAATAATATAAAAATCGCTTCTCGTCGCCTCGACTTCTCACGATTGAAACTCCACCAGAACCCTACGTTGTACAGAACGCTAAAAAAAAAAAAAGCTTAAAACAAAAATGACACCGTTGAAAAAGAAGGGTGGGTATTTCTTCTAAGGTTAAAGGGGGTAGTGGTGTGAGTATATCTAGGGTTTTACTGAATTAGGAGAAGACAGTGAGGATTTTTAATTGCATGATTTAAAAAAAGGGTTTAATATGAATTTTTTGTTTTTTTAAATTATTTTTATTAAATGGTGGTGGTGGGGAAGAGAAGAGTACAAGGGCGACTTATGAAGCTGAGGGCAGAGATGTGGTGATTGGTGATGAAAAGAGGAAATAAAAGCGCGTGACTTTTTTTTTTTGTTTTTTAATTTTTCTAAAACAATAAAAGAAGAATGCTAGAATAGTCCAGAAAGTTTTTGTTTTGATTAAATTGTCTAAAAAACCCTTAAATTAAAATCCAATATCATCTAAATCACTTTTGTTTTTTTCAATCATTTAAAATTTTAATTATTTACTTTTACAAATTGAGTCCTTGATAGAAAAGAATTTTAATTATTTTTTTAATCAAAAGTTTAATTGAATGAAAATAAATATTTAAAAAATTAATTTAAAATAAAAATAAAAAATTTAACTGATTATAATTAAAAATAAAAAAATTTAAATAATTATTAAATTTTAGTTTGAAAACTTTTTTTTCTTTAACTTTATCTTCTTTTGATTTACACAATTTTACAACTCCTTTTTTTTTTTTTTTCTTGTTGAAAATTGGTTCTTGATTACATAAACAAAAATTTTAATATTTTATATAATTATTGATAATTTTAATTTTTTTAAAAAAAGTTTGGATAAATAAATTGATAGACCATGCAATTGAGATTACTGTTAATAAAGGTTGCTGATAAGATTTGATCTTAAAATCACTTATTTAGAGACAAATGAATTTATCAATATATATATATGTATATAATTCAATCATAGTATGTCAAATGAATTTATCAATATAATTATCTTCTTGAATAATCTTAGAAGAGCCAATTCCCTTATTGATTTTATTGATGTTTTATTTCTTAAGATTTATCTTGAAAAATAAAAGTTTGAAATTAACATTTTTATTTAAAGATATATACATTTTTATATGGTAAAATACTTTTTAGGGTAATGATAATATATATAAATAGGAAGAGCATAAATTATAAGTAATTTCATGTATTTCATGAAATATTAGGAAACTTATATATATATTTTTTAAGTTAAAATAATAAAATAAACTCTTGAACTTTATAATTTTATTTAGATAAATATTTATATTTTTATTATATTCAAATAAACACTTAATTTTTAATTTGTATCCAAATAAATTTTTAAAATTTTAATTTGTACTTAAATAATTTTTTATTTAAAATAAAAACTTACTTGGATATAAATCAAAATATAAGGGTTTATTTAAACAAATGAAATAATTCAATAACTTTTTTTCCTTTTAATTATATAAAATATTTTTTTCTTTTTAATTGAGGGAAAAATGAAAAAGTAGATTTTTTTTTTCAAATTAATGGGATGTGTTTTGTTTTTTTTTTTCTACTTTCTATTTATATTTTATACCAAATAAATGGATTTTGAGATGTGAAAAGAGTTTATTTCTTCCTTTTAAATGAAAGGTTTTTCTTTCTAATTTTCCTTTAAAATTTACGAAAAATAGTGAGACTTTGATGCTTTTGGGGATGTATGTTTGAATCCACAAATGGATGGAAATTTTGGCATTGGGTTGTTCAATGATTGTTCTTGAAAAGGATAATCGTGAGTAGTTTGGAATTTTCTTTTTGACTTTTATTTTTAGGATCTTATGTTTTTATTTTTCCCTTTCGTGTCTCTATTGGGCCATCCTCAGATTCAAAGGACTTTTGCTTACAGAAATTTGGACTATTGCAGTATCTCTTTCTTTCTCAAGCTCTTGATTATTATTATCTTTATAATAAATAAAATCATTTTTTATAATTAGATATAGTAATTTATTTATTCATATTATATAAAATATTGATAATTTACATATTTATATTATATTTTATATAAAAATTATGTGTTACAATTAATATCGATAAAAAATATAAAATATATGTGATTGTATTAATTAATATATATTTTTATTAAAATTTTTAATTGTATCATTTTTATGTATTTTATTTATATGATTTTTATATCATTTTATTGTGTCATATTTTAAATTATTATTATAATGAATTCATCTCAATGATTGATTAGAAATTTAATTCTAAAATGAACATAATGATGTAATAAAAACTTTTATCATCCATCACCCAAATGAAGCACAAATTCATTACATACCAACAAACCAACTAACATTTAATGTATACTTATTTTTGGTTGAAATTTGGGTATAAGGTCAATAAAAATGTAGTTTGGTTGTTCTTTTTTATTACGGCTATAGCAAATTATTAGAAATAATATTATAGTATATTAAAATTAAATTTTTTTAATCTACGTAAAAATCAATCATACTCAAACAATTTGAAATGAAAACATTATATATATATATTATATTCTTTTGATTTTTTTTTAGATCATGATAATAAACTAGAAAATCAAAGTAATCTTTATTTTAATAGAAGTTTAATTTAATTGATTTGTATAATTATTTTTAAAAATTAATATTTATAAATTTAAAATTTAAATTTTAGATAAAATTTTTTATTCTTTTACTACTATTGGTATTGTACGAAAAAGATTGCGATCATCTTACTATATTGCTATGTTGAAATTTTGCTGTCTGTTTTGATGACCAAAGGCCACCTCGTCAAATGTAATTATTCCTTGATCCAACCTTTTTTTTTTTCCTTATAATGTTCGAAGGTTAAAAATTAAAAAATTCTTAAACTTTATTATTTTATTTATACAAATTTATATTTTTATTACATTCAAATAAATTTTTATGTTTTGATTTACATCTAAACACACATTTATTTCAAATTAACTACTGCAATTTTTTTTTTTCATTTTTTTTAATCATGTAAAAATTGATTATTTATATAAGTAAAGATTTTACTTCAAGCATTTGTGATAGTAAAAATCTGGTATCTTACATGCATTATTATGTATTATGTTAAGAGTTTATTTAAATATAAATTAAAAATTAAGGGTTTATTTGAGTTTAAATTAAATGTTCATATAAATTAAAAATTAAAAATTTATTTGAGTACAATAAAAATATATGGACCTATAATATCATAAATGGTAAATTTTGGATTGTTTATTTATTTAAGGAAAAATTAAAAGTACTTAAACTTTATTATCCATGTAATTAATCAAATTTGAAGTTCCTTGTCAGCACATTTGATCATTCCCTCTAATTTTCTTTCCACATATATACGTAAGCATTTTCAGTAAAAAATAAAGCAAATACAAAGCAAAGGAATTGGAACAAAAATGACCAATTGGAGATTTACTTGAAATTCTCATGCAGGGTGCATGCTTTCTTTGACTAATGCAAATTCTTTGAAAAGTAGTGACTATGTTGGATATATCCAACCAAAAAAAATTGAAGAAATTTTAATTTTCAGCCTCAAATGCAGTCTATAAATGCCATCCTGGTTCTCACTTTCTTCCCCACAGCTCAAACAATAGGTTCATCATCCTGTTTTCTGTCTTTTTATCTAGTTTAATTTGAACATTTTCAAAATCGTAGTTTAGAATCGTGGGTGTTATCACTCACGAAATTGAGGTTACTAGCCCACTCCCCTCAGCCTAGTTATTCAAGGCCTTTGTTCTTGATTTTGACAACCTTTTCCCCCAGTCTGTGCCACATGCAGTCAAAAGCATTGAGCTCCTTGAAGGAGATGGTGGGCCTGGAAGTATCAGGAAGATTACTTTTGCTGAAGGTTAGCTTTTTTGAGATAAGTATTGGATACGGATATGGAGTTTTTTTTCCTACGAAAGGATATTTTAAAATCTTTATTCCCTAAATAGAGTAGTTTTAAACTTATTTCTTTAAATGAGGTGCATTAGCTCCACGTCACATTTTTTGACAAAATGGACTCCACATCAGCATCTCTTTTCTTCAATCTTGTTCCTTCTGATTCTGGTTCTTCTCTGCAAGGCTGCAATTGCTTTTTTTTTTTTTTTTTTAAATCTTTGTTTTTAGAAACCATTCTCACAGTATCAAAATCTCATCAAATAATAATAATAGATAAATTAGTTATAATTCCAAATATATGGCTAATTTAGATTTACAAAGATTTACACCCTAAAATGTTTTTCAAAATGGAGTACAAGAATATTACTGATAACTTAAATGACCATCAATTAAATCATCTACTGACTCATCTTTCAAGTCTTTCCATGCCATTAAATCATCAAAAGCCAAGAGCATTGATTGAAAAAAGGTCTCTGTCTCTAGAATAGCCTCGTTCAACTGTTTAATAAGATCATCTTCCGCAGTTGGAATGTTCAAATCCCTGACAATAAAAATATCAACAGTTGATGAATTCGTCTTAGCTGCAGATAAACTCAATTCAAGTCCTAAATCAATAGCTTTACTCATACTCTCATCCTTGTTGTATATAGGCAGGAAAAGATCTCCCCGAAATGTTCAATGGAATCATCTTAAAATATTGTAATAGAATACCAGTCCTGTATTTGAGAATACGATTGGTGTTTGTTTTAGTGCCTCCATTAATTAGAATGACAACAAGATCATCATCAATTCTTCTTCTACGTCCTAAGTAATTGACAGCCTTTTCCTCCTCAACTAAAGGAACTATCTTAATTGAAATTATTTAGAAAATTTTAAACCCTAATTTGCCCAATAGGAAAAGTGGAACACTTTTATATTCTGGACTTGAAAGGACAAAAGAGAAAAAGACTTGAAATTTGTGGGATGGATGAAACATTTCGTTTCAACAAGATAAAATGTAATGATTTCTCAATGAGAAGAGAGAGCTAAGTAATAGGACTTTTGGGTTTTGTACTTATACTAAATTGGGGAAAGTTTCAAATTTGAATGCTTTTGTAGATAGGCAAGTAATTTTTAGAACAGAATGCACGAATATTGTTTCTCTTTCAAATTGTGTCTTATTTTATGAGTACTAATTTGAATATCTTGAGAATGATTTTGGAAAAATCAAAATAGATTTTGAAACACATACAAACATAGGTGCAAGGGAAGAAAAATAAAGCAGAGGAATGAAAGAAAGAGGTCAACTTTTGTGGAGGAAGATGCGGAAGTAAGAGGAGTTAAAGTACCTTTATTTTAGAATAAAGTTTAAAAATATTCTAATTAAGGAATTAAGGTTATAAAGTTCCTTAGTTTGGGAAAAAACTCTACGGATATGTTCAGAATTTTAAAAAGTTTATATATATATGAAGGATTAGACTTTATTATTTATGTTTAATTCTGTTTGAACATAATTAGGTTCAATTTTTAAGAAAAATTTTCATATATTTGGAAGATTTGACTTTTATATTTATGTCTAATTTTATTGAATACTTGTCGGATACGATACTCTAAAAAATAAGATTAAAATAATAATTTTTTTTTTAAAATTTGGTCACTTTACTTAAATATATTCATATATTTTTATTATAATCAAATACATTTTTAATTTTTAATTTGCATTCAAATAAGTTTTTAGCTTTTTAATTTATATTAAAATAAATTTTTAACTTTTAATTTGTATTTAAATAAACTTTTAATGTAAATCAAATTTTCATTTGAAATAAAGATTTATTTAAATGCGAATAAAATAATAAAGATTTATTTGAATATAATAAATCTTGGCATATTCTCATCTCTACAACTAGGTTGCTACCAGCTCCTGCTTGCTTTTCCTTATGTCATCTCAGTTTTAATGGTGTGATTTTGGTATTTCACTTTTGTCTTTGCCAAAACTGTCTTTGCTTGGGTAATAAAAGTGGTGGTCTCTAGTTATGATCATCTGCGTTTCATTGTAATAGGAAGAGTTTGAGTTGTATTATCTCTGATATATGAAACGAAAAACATATACTAGATACTTTTATAAGTTAATCATTATAATTACAATTTACCACATACCTACGAGTTCCTGATAGGCCAAGCACTTGAATCCAAGGTCTTCAGTGCCTAAAATATCAGAGTTCTTTCTTTTTAATCATCTTCTGATGTTGATTGCTTTCAAGATCCATAAATTTGTTCTTTATTGTAAGCTTGTCTGTTGCATATTGAAGAATATTAAGATCAGTACACAAACCAGAATCAATTGCAAGTTTTTTTAGGTGCTTAATTTCTGGATTAATCTTCATTCTTACTCTATAAATACTACAGCTTCAGGTTCACATCTCCACACCTCAAAAATCTCTTTGCAAAATATCAATCAATTCTATTTTCACTCCTCTGATCATTTCCAAATCACAAAGCAATCATGGGTGTTTTCACTTACGAATCTGAGGTTGTTACTACAATCCCACCAGCCAAGATGTTCAAGGCTTGTATCCTTGATGGTGACAAGCTCATTCCCAAGGTTGTTCCTCATGCCTTTAAGAGCGTTGAGTACATTGAAGGCAATGGTGAGCCTGGCAGCATCAAGAAAGTTACTTTCGGAGAAGGTTTGTTAGTTTATATAGGCAGCTAAATACTTTGAATATAATATATATAATTAGAACTTACAAGTATAGCTCCTTTTCTTTTATCGTTTGTGAAACAAAAGCCTAATATTTGCCTTTCCTTATACAGGAAGCCAATTCAATTATGTGAAGCAGAAGATAGAAGCACTAGACAAAGAAAATTTTGTATACAGTTACAGTATAATTGAAGGGGATGCTTTGATGAACACTCTTGAGAAAATCACTTACGAGACCAAATTAGAATCCTCTGCAGCTGGGGGATCCATATGTAAGACTACTAGTAAGTATTACACCATTGACGACTTTGAGATCAAGGAAGAGGGAATCAAGGCAGGCAAAGAAAAGGCCTCGGGAATGTTCAAGGCCATTGAAGCCTACCTCTTGGCAAATCCTGATGCCTACTAAAAATCCCAAAATTGAGAATTTGAGAAAGCATCCACTTCAATGATCATACAATGTGGAATGCATATGTGCCTTTTTTTTCTTTTACTTTCTAGTTTTAGCAGTTGTTGGTCCATATGACCTTCATATTGCTAATAAGAGTTCACAGTTTATCTTGGCTACCAGGAAGCTTGAGCTGAAAATGTCAACTGCCAGTAATAAATAAAGGAGCATTGAATGTGTTGAAGCTTTAAATTAAAAGTTGTTTTCTGATAAAGCAATCCATTGAAAATGATGAATGCATTATCTTCATCTTTCAAGATTTACTAGTTACATATCTTGAACATGACAAAGTCAAGTTTCAAAGAAATGTGAGACTAATTCTGACACGTACACTTGTTCTTTTTGGATATTTTGTCCGAAAAGTTAGAATTTTAAGATCGTAGTTAAATTAAAATTAAAATTACACTAATTTCATGAAAATTTATATATAACACTCAAATAATTTAGGACAAAGAGAATATATATATATATATATATATATATTTACACACACATATTCTTTTGGTTTTTCTTTTCTCACTTGTGATAATAAACTAGAAAATCAAAGTTGTCTTCATCAAAATCAAAGTTTAACTAAATTAATTTATATAATCATTTTTAATATTAAATAAATTTAAAATTTAAATTTAAGATATTTTTCCTTATCCTTTTACTGCGACTGTTTTTGTAAGAAAAAAATTGCCTTCATCTTATTATATATTGAAAATTTGCAGTCTGTTTTGATGACCAAAGGCCACATCGTCAAACGTAATTATTTCTTGTTCCAACCTTTCTTTTTTCCTTATGGATGTCTGAAGGTTAAAATATTAAAATTTTTTTTTAAATTTTATTGTTTTTTTTAAAGAGACACTTAAAATTTTTATTGTACTTGAATAAATTTTTATATTTTAATTTATAGCTAAATAAACTTTTATTTCAAATTACTATTGCAAATTTTTTTTTTTAGATCTCTTTAATCGGCGTAAAAATTAGTTTTTACATAAGTAAAGGTTTTACTTCAAGCATTTGTAATAGTGAGAAATTGATGGCTTACATGTGTAGACACCTTATTTCATCCAGAGTATGTATTCAAATTCTCAGTTTCGATTTTGTCGAGACCGTCGTTCTTTAAGTCTAATGTATGTTACTTTGATATGGGTTTTGCTCTAACATATATTTTATTTTTGTTTGTATGTTTATTCTTTAATAAAAACTAAATAAATAAAAAAGAAAAGAAAGAAAATCAAACAAAATTTTCTGAAAATCCTATACAAAATTGGGCAAAAAGGAAGTTTTAGGATTTTTTCTTAACCGACATGAAATAGGAAATCAAATAAAAAAGGATCACAAAGTATCAAAGTTACGGTTTATGTTAAATTGGTTTTATCTAAATTAAAAAAATTTAAAAATTTTTTGAAAATCCTTGACAATTAATGGAACTCTAAAATTTCTTACTAAAAAATCCCTATAATAAGGCAAACAAAGAAAAAGGCTGGAGAAAAAGATTATACGAAAACTCTTGAGAAAAAAAGGAGAGAAAAATCATTTAGAAAAAAAAATACGACTTCTGCTAGTAGTTTTTTTTTTTTTGGAATTCTTTGTAAAATATGAAATTGTGAGGACTTATTCTGGTAAACCGCACAACTTAACTGCTTAACCAAGCTGACTTTAAGTATTATTTTATTTTATTTTTATTTATTTAACTGTTTTATTTATTATTTATTTGATTATCTATTGTTTTTAAATATATTTTTATAAAAACATATTTAAATAAAAGTCTTACAAACATATTAGAAGACAATCATTTAAAAAAAAAGATTGTACCAACATATTGAAAAACCTTATAACCTTTTTTTTATTTCAAAAAAATAAAATAAAAAGCCTTACAACAGATTAGCGAGCCGATATTTTATTTCCAAAATAAGGTTTTACATCATATTGAAAAGCCTTATAATTTCCTAAAAAAAATCAAGTTTTAAAAAATAATATTTCCTATCTTTTTGCATAAATTCCTACCAACAAATTGGAGGATAATTTTCAACAAAATATCTTACCAATAGATTGGAGGATATTTCTTCTTATAAACTTTGTTTATGGGTATTTATTTTTGGAAGTAAAATTAAGTGAATCTGATGATGTGGCATCTTTAAATAGTGATAAATAGTTTTCTTGAATACTCCTGAAGTGAGAAAATATTCTTAAATTATTATTAACATATTAGAGTCATTTAAGTAAAATTTCCAAAATTAAATTATTTGATAAGTTTTAAATATATTTTAAGGCTTGGATAACTTGAAATCAGACTGGTACCATTTTTTAGATGGGAGCTATAAGGGTACTATAACTTTTCTCATGCATAATGATATTCCAAACCTAAATTTTGGTTTCGTGACTATAATCTACTATTTAAAGATACATAAGTTAATCTTGGGACTTTTCTTTAAATGGACAGATTTTGTCAATGACTAATAACACCTTAACAAAAAATATTGATGGCGACTCCTTTAGTTTACATCTAGCTATAGGTTCATGGATCTACATGTTATGACTGTTTGACGACTTCACTAAAGAGATTAATAGTTAGGCCAGTAAATGATTTCTTGTTATCTAAGCCTAACCTAATAAATTTAAGATTTTTTTCTTTCTTGTTTGTATTTTATTTGTTTTATTTATTTATTCATTTTATATATCTGTTATTCATTTACATACGCATAACATGAGCTCTACACTCAAGTTTTGTTTCCTTAGGAGAGAGTAAAGTACCTATGTCTTCGTGAGATTTCATATCTCCACATGGGCTAGGGAAAATCTTCTATTCAAATTAAACCATTTTCGTTTATAACTTATAATGGCTAAGGATTGGGGTACCTTACTAATTTATAATGGACAATGATATAAGGAATAATTTGAGAACTATTAGATTGTCAAACTTTTGAACCTAGCATGTAAATAAACCCTAAGGGTCTGAACTTAGGTTTGAGCCATGCATTCTCTTGTGTTATAAAATCCTAAATAGGACATATAATGGGAAATTTATTTAGCTTATAAATTTATATATATTTTTGTATATATTATTTGCTTACTAACCTTTTACATTGTTTTTTTATATTGTTCTTTGTATATATCATGTTTACTAATCTTTTTTTTATTGTATATGCATGCATTCACATTATTAAATTTTTCTTATTGCATGTTTTTGTATTTTTTGCATTCATTCTCATGCATAATTTGATGGTTCCATAAACATTGTTCTAAATTTGTATCCTAATTGTGGGAAATCAAGATTCAATAATAGCTCAATACCAGTATTACACTCAAACCCAAGCTAAAAGAATGAAACAAAATAATACAAGTCGCATTGAGAAATTAGAAAAAGGCCCAAAAAAGATTAAGGGAGAGCTAAACAAAATTCTCGAGGCATTGATTAAGTTGAATAAAGGAAATGTGGTAGAAGAAGATGTTTTACATGATATTGCTGATCCTTTATATCCTTCGAGTTATGACCCATATCAAACCCAATCCACTCTAAGCTTTCCATCACAACAATTTGCATTTTTGACATGTTATACTTACTTAGAAATGCCACTTATACCCAATATGTCCAAAGCTACAACAACCCTGCTCTTGCTGAAAAGGTAGTTGAACCGATCTAAGTTCTTAATTTGGACGTCTTAAAAGAGAAATTGAAAGTGGTTAAGGCTTTTAAAGGTTCAAAAGTTGATTACGAGATGAACATGCTTGAGAAGAGGTTGCAAGCTTTTGAAGGGATAGATTTTTATGGCTCCACGGATGCTACTGGCCTTTGTTTGGTCTCAGATGTTGTGATTCATCTGAAATTTAAAGTTTCAGAGTTTAAAAAGTACAATGGTTCTAAGTGTCTGATAACTTATGTCATCATGTGTCATCAGAAAATGACTACCTATAATAGTAATAAAAGTTATTTATGCATATATTCTAAGACACCTTACTTGCTTAGTTGTAAGATGGTATGTTCAGTAGATTAAACTCGCATCCACTCTTAGAACAAGCTTGCTCGAGCATTTATTAACCAATAACTCCATATCATTGACTTGGCCCTCTGATTGTCTTTCTTTATAAAGCATAAGGAAGAAGGTAATAGAATCTTTTAAAGAATATGCCCAATGGTGAAGGAACATAACTGTTCAGGTCCAGCCACCACTGATAAAAAAAGAGATAGTAGTTCTGTTTGTTAGTAATTTGAATTTGTCCTATTATAAAAGATGATAGGGAACGCGATTAAAAACTTTACTAATATAATAATGTCAAGGGAGATTATTGAAAATACTATCAAGAGTGACAAACTTGAAGAAATAGAAGCCAATAGTACTAAGAATATAGGGATGTCTCCCTAAAAAAAAAGAGCTGAAACCCAAGCTGTGAGTTTTAAGAGGATAATAGTTTAGAGGTTATGCACCATAACCATCTTATGTTCATCTTGCTTACTACTCGGTAGTAAATAATATTGTACAAATCCTTTACTAGCCTCATTACCCAACCATGAATAACATCTTTCTTAGTTCTTATCAACTAGCTTTTCAAGCACTAACAACTAGCTTTTCAAGCATTAACAACTAGCTTTTCAAGCACTAACATATGAGCTCAGTTTTGTTAGTACACCAGTTTCAAAGCCTAACAATCAAGCGAGTAGTTTGAAAAGATCCAGAAGCAATCAAAAGAGAGCTTACATTGATCCTATCTCCATAACTTATACTGAGTTATTTTTAAAATTAGTTAAGAATGACTTAGAATCTCTGATTTTTTTAGAACCATTGAAGCCACCCTTTTTCAAATGGTATAATGTTAATACTACATGGATTACGATAATGAAAATATGGGTCACTCTATAAAAGTTTACCCTATTTTTAAGCATAAGGTACAAAGTTTGATTCAAGTAGGCTCGATGAGCATTAACGAATCAAGGAAGCTAAATGTCCATAAAAGGCCCTTTACTTGATCACCTAAGGGCATAATTTTGAGAAGGCTAATTGGAACTGCTTATCATCTTAGAATTTTTTTATAGTAATGATTTTTTTATGTATTTGAATTTTATTTATTTTCATTATTTTAATAAAAATGATGGATATGATGCATTTTCATGACATTTCCTCTTTTGTGTGAATTACTGTTATATACTTTTATCTTCTCACATCTTTTTCTCATATCCATTCTTTGATTCTAA